GGCGGACACAGAGAGGGGCAGGGGTGGCCTGGGCTGCACAGTAGGGAGGGCGGACACAGAGAGGGACAGGGGTGGCCTGGGCTGCACAGCGTAGGGAGGGCGGACACAGAGAGGGACAGGGGTGGCCTGGGCTGCACGGCAGTGGCGGGGAGGGACACAGAGAGGGACGGCGGCTGGCCTGGCCTCCCAGGACCAGAGGCAGGAGAGGGTCCCAGACTCCACTGTGCCCGGGCTGGGCCGGGGGTGCCCCGGGAGCTCAGGCCCCTCTCCCCAGCCTCAGTTTTCCTTTGTGCCCATCTGCACAGGGCACCAGGCTGCCCAGTGAGCACAGGGTGCTGGTCTTAGGGAGCCCTGGCTGGAGCAGGCCGACCCCACAGCAGGGCTGCCTTGCCTGGGAAGAGGAGCCGCACCCTGCCGGGCCCAGGGCCGCTCCCGGGCTCCCATGCTGTGTGGGCAGGTCCCACTTCCTGGCTAGGGGACTTCCCTCGTCCTTCAGTAAAAAACCGTGGCACCTGCCCCCCCCCACCAAGAGTAAAGTGAGAGATGTCCATGAGGGGGCTCCTGTAAAGGGTGCCCTCCTGTGGTCTCTAGACTCCCCTCGGTGGTTTCCAGGCTCTCTGCAGTCCCTAGGTCTCCTGTCCTCGGTCGCTCTTCTGGTCGGTCCTGAGCTCACTGGTGGCAGGTCTTGGTCCCGGGGGGTTCGGCTGTGACTCAGAGCTACAGGGGCCCTGGGGCTGTGGAGAGGTGGCAGGCGGGGGCCCTCGGTCCTGTTCGGTGCTCGGCTCTGGAGGTGTCGGCGATGAGCAGGCCCTCAGATGGGGTCTAAGCCCTGAGGTTCCGGGCCCCCCGACCTCCAGGTCTCTCAGCCTTCCCCGCCTCTCCCCCCAGGGGGGCTGGAGGGCAGCTGTGACCCCCTCGTGCCCGAGTCCCCATGTGGGCTGAAGCTGGGCCCGCCTGAGTGCCGAGCGGGGCCCGCGCGAGGCCAGTGCCCGTGCCGGTCCAGCTGGGCCCTCTCCAGCCCTGCTCCCGAGACTGAACATCTCGCTACAAGTCGCAGCTGAGTTTTCTCCTCTTCTGTCTGGATGACTTCCTTGGGATCAATTCCCGAAGTGGAGCGCCTGCACCCCTGGCCCCTGGCAGGTGCTGTGCAGCGTTTCCCTCGAGCGAGGCCCTGCAGGGAGGACCGCCAAGCCAGGGCGGAGGCTGCCAGCGCTGGCCACGCTTCTCCTCCCCGCCCCCCCCCGGACTGCTCGTATTTCCAGAGAGAGGGAGAAAGCACCCCCTGGTGGAGGGTGTCATGCCACAGCCCCTTCTCCTGCCAGGGCATTCGACCTGCCGGGGCTGGGGTTTGAACCGTGGTCAGCCATGTGAGCTCCAGTTCCCCAAGCACAGGGCTTCACCACAGGGCCACGATGGCCCTCGAGCCGTCAGGCTTCTTCAAGAAGGCGGGGGTGGGGGGCAGCAGGTGGTGGTAATGGTTAAGGCTCTGGACTCCCACATGTCTGACCGCAGTTCAAGTCCCAGATCTGGTGGCTTGAAAATCATGCCAGGCACATGTGTGTGCATGCCAAAAATCCCAGGAGGAGAGATTCAGCATGACCATCCCCCTGGGGAGAGATCTCTCACCTTCCCCTCTATGGGAAAACCTTAAAAAAAAAACAGGCAAAGGGACCCGGCCACAGTTGTGAGGGCTGGGCCTGCGGGACAGCTGGGCAGGTGGCGTGGTGGTTAAGGTGCTGGACTCCCACATGGTCAACTGTGGTTTGAGTCCTGGACCTGGCAACTTGCTTTCTCACTTTTCCTCTCTCTCTGCTGAATTAAAATAATAGTAGTAATAATAATAATAAACAAAATTGAGTCAGCAATTCTAAGAGAAAGAAACGAAAGGCTGGCCCACCCCATGGTGGGAAGATGGAGGGGGTCAGCCCGCTCAGTCTGAGACCGTCCTCTGCCTGCCTGGGTGGGTGCCTGGGCTCAGAGCCCACTCGAACCGTGTGCTCGCCAGGGTGCCCACGACTCAGGGGTGTTGTTACGTCTGTCTGTCTGCCACGTGTGGAACAGCAGACCCGTCCGTGAAGGCTGTCCTGCATGGCGCAGGGCAGGGTGCACCCACACTCGCTGGAGACAGCCCGCCAACCAGAAACCACCCCCAGGGGGACCGCCGCACCGCGGTCCCTTCTCCCTTCCCCTCCCAGGACCTTGGGCGCGCTCGCGCGTGCGCCTAAAATGAGTTTCAAGCCGCCAGGTCTGGGTCTCTCACGGTGGTGGACTGCATGGGAGTCCAGCAACGTGCCCACTATGCCATCTGCTGCTTCCCGTTCTGGGACATTTTAATCACCCCAAAGTAAACCCCCTCCTGTGACCAGTCACCCCTCCCCTGGCCCCTGCGCCCAGGAGCCCTGTCCCGTGGATGCGGTGGGACCTCGCCCTGCCTTGCCCGTGTCGGCACATTCCCAGCACGGCATGTCCCAGGGCTTCGTGCTGCAGCCTCCACCCCGCCCCCCGTGGTGTTCCCTGTGGACACAGCATGTGTTGCCTGTCCTTCCCCCACTGAAGGCACCCCAGCCCCTGGGGCTGCAGCCTGGGTTCCATCCTTGGGTGTGTCCTGGGGGCTGCGGGGCGGTTGTCTCTGGTCTGCCTCTCAGGGCAGCCAGGCAGCTTTCCCACGGTGTGGCAACGACCCGCGCCCACCCCCAAGGGCCCGTGTGTGCCCGCTCACAGCACTGCCTGGCCTGTCGGGACGCTCTGGGGGCGGCCGCTTTCTGCTGGCACCCCAGGTGGGAGTCGGGTGTGTGTTGCTGGGGAAGCAGCTGAGTTGGTTACTCTGAACATTCAAACAGTTGCCAGGCCCCGCGGCTCGAGTTGCCCCCCAGCTTCCTGGCCGCCTGCCCTGGTGCCCGCTGCCCCGCTGTGGCCTCCCCTCGTCCCCGGCCCCAGGGTGCTGTCTGAAGTGGTCTGGGGCAAAACCCGCAGCCGGGCGTGGGCTGAGCAGGCCCAGTCTGCACGTTCCAGCCCAGGCTCGCTCCCATGCACCAGGCACCCCTGCAGGCTCACACCCTCCCCCAAGCTCCTCCTTGACCATCTCTGCTCCTGTTTTTTTAATTAAAAAAATTTTTTATTTGCTATAGGGCACATGCTTGTCAGAAACACCGGGGGGTATGGCCAAGCCACAGTCCTTTCTCCCGTCTCGGGATTTGGGGCGTGCACACACGTCTCAGGGTCCGGGACTCGAACAGCACAGTTGGCAACATGGGACCCAGCGTCCCGACCCCTAGGGCACCCGCTGGCGCCGGCCTCATCCTTGCCTGATGTACTTTCAGCGCCGACCTGTGCCCGCCACGTTGTCCTCTGGGTCACGTGAGACGTGTGATCTATTCTGAGCGACCTCGGGCTCAGCAGGTCCTGTGTGTCTTGAAGGAGAGAAAGAGGCTGGCCGAGTCTGGGGGCCGGGAGCAGGCCCTGCCCTCCGGAGACCAGCCGGGGTCGCAGGCCGGGGGTCTCTGCTTCCAGAGACAGGCCTCACGTGGGCACTGAGCATGGCCTCTGCCCTCTGGACATGGGGTCCGCCCGGTCACCCAGGGCGGGCTCTGCCCTCTGATACCAGGTCCATGCCGACGCCCAGTGCGGGCTCTGCCGACCGAGGTGGGGTCCACGTGGGCACTGAGCTTGGCCCTCCGGAGACCGGGTCCCTCCGGGACAGGCTCTGCCCTCCAGAGTCGGGGCCACGCGGGCGCTGAACGCGGGCTCTGCGCCGCAGTGGGGCCGCTCCCGGGCAGCTCCGCCCTCCGGACGCGGCTGGGGGGCGGGGCCGGCGGGGGTGCTGTTCATGGTGGGCAACCTCATCATCATCCCCGTGGGCATCACCTTCTTCAAGGACGAGACCACCGCGCCCTGGATCGTGTTCAACGTGGTCTCCGACACCTTCTTCCTCATGGACCTGGTGCTGAACTTCCGCACGGGCATCGTGATCGAGGACAACACGGAGATCATCCTGGACCCCGAGAAGATCAAGAAGAAGTACCTGCGCACGTGGTTCGTGGTGGACTTCGTGTCCTCCATCCCCGTGGACTACATCTTCCTCATCGTGGAGAAGGGCATCGACTCCGAGGTCTACAAGACGGCGCGCGCCCTGCGCATCGTGCGCTTCACCAAGATCCTCAGCCTCCTGCGGCTGCTGCGGCTGTCGCGCCTCATCCGCTACATCCACCAGTGCGGTGCGCGATGGGGTGGGGGGCATGGGGGCGGGCACGGAGTGGATGGAAGCCGTCCATGCGCCAGGGGTCCCTCGGCCAGCCGAGCAGCTGGTGTTAAAAAAGCTGTTGTTTTGGATGCCCGGAGGGCACGTGAGTGTGCGGTTGAGGCAGGGGTGGAGTGGAGCCAGAAGGGCATGGGTTGGGACCGTGTGGGGCATGGGGGCAGGGCTGTACCTGTGGAGGCGGAGCTATCCCTGCAGGGAAGAGGCTATGAGGGGCATAGGGATGGTGTTGTGCCTGCAGGGGCGGGGCTGTGCCTGAGAGGCGGGGCTATCCCTGCGGGGGCGGGGCTGTGCCTGAGAGGCGGGGCTATCCCTGCGGGGGCGGGGCTGTACCTGCAGAGGCGGGGCTACCCCTGCGGGGGCGGGGCTGTGCCTGAGA